CAAACAAATTTTTGTGATCATAATTGCAAATTAATAGGCAAGAGCATGATCGAACGAACGCGAAAATAGTCCATCCACATTCAACAACCGGCAGTGACATTCAGTCAAATTCACGCACATACACACAGCAAAACTGCTGCTGCTGTGCTCGTTGAAAAATGAAGAAATTTAACACACTGCAATATTGAAGACGTGGATATCCACGTAGGTCCTTAATTGTGCTCATTGTCAGTTTTCTGCTCTCTCTGCACAACAAATATGTTCGTTGTGAAACAAATAAACTCCCGTGCACCACTTACCGTTTAAGCCTTGTGAAAATCACACACAATACATTTAGAAATTAACACAGAAACTAACTCTCTACAGTACAATTCCAGGCTCTACCACAGATCCACTAGCAATGACAATTGCAAGCCCGACCGACATTTGGCAAGCCAGTAGTCGTCGGTCTCTGCTGTTCATACTGGCGATAAGTGAATTGCTTAAGAATAAACCTTCTCTGCATGCCTCTAGTATTTTGGCGAATTGATTGAAAGCTTAAAGTAGTCAGTTGTAGCTAGTGAACATTCGATGAACTAACTTCATTTTCCTTTACAGCTTACAGCTACTGCCTTATCCTTATAGTAATAAATCATGAATCGTGTGCAAAATCTGTTTGTTGAATGAATCGTGTGCAAAATCTAATCCAAATTTTCACAACAGCAATAGTAGTGATAGGGTGAAACCAGATAAAATAACGTGGATGGATTGTCATCCTATATTCGTGTAAACGGTTTCCACGTATTCCTTTCTCTGAGATTCCTTTCTCCACGATTAATATCGAGATGTTATCGTGTTTTCCGTTTCGTATTGGCCTGATTTTCATTGACAACTAATTATTTTTCATCGATTTTCAAAGGAATGATGGCACGTCGCACAACAACAGCGTCGTCGCGGAAAGATGAATTGACTAAGCTGAATGAAGTGGACGAAAACAGACGACAAGACGATTCGAACAACAACGATATTAGCAAAGAAACTGGTGATGACGGTCACGATGACGTTGTTGTAAGTATTTTTTGTAACGTGTTGAATAGTTGAAGATCTTAAGATCTTGTTTCTCTCTTACAGTTAGTTATGAACAAATCACATTGTAATTCGGAAACGAATCGGTTTTTCTCAGTTCTTTAATGGTTAATGGTGCTTATTATAAGTTGAAAATTGAGTCGATCTATTGGCGAATTTCAAAGTATACCTGTAGAAGTGGTTCAGTCTATTTGTTGGTTTCAAAGAATTGTAATGAAATTGATCAGGAACATGGTTGTTCGGCATATTACAATAATTTGTATTATGCGGAATTGCATGTGTCAGATCAAGATTTTTGATATTGTATTGGTTTCGAGTGATACTCGATGATTGAATAGAGTTTATGNGTTTTCATTAGTTGTCGATTGTCTTTTGTTTAAATGCAGTTTTGATTCAGTTGAAGGTATTAAATTTGATTACTTCATTTACCAGTTTTCTGATCATTTTGATTTCTGTTCGAATATCCTTGCAAAATTCATGATATTATTCTATTCTTAATGTTGGTCGTTGATTTTTTTAAAACTTTTTTGTAACATTTTTTTGCAACATAATTTCTCCCTCTTTAATTACGTAGCATTCAATAGGATATAAAAATAGCAAACGAATGACAAGTTCCTAGACGAGTTCGTTGTTGCAGATGAATTATCAATAGCGGATCGTTGTGTACAGTTTGCGTTATCCGGTCTATCACGATGGGATTCCATTCATTTTCTGCACATAATGCAATATGGTTACACTTATGAGAACACTCTAGCATTCTTTCCGTTATTCCCAACCGTGGTTTATTACTCAACGGTCATCTGGAGTTGGGCCGTGCCATTCATCCACTTCACCACTGCACTCATGCTGACAGCTGTCACGATCAATTTTGTACGTTCATCTTACCTGATATTATTGAAGCAGAGCATTTCTTACAGTGATTCGAACAAAAGTCACTAAATTCCACCGGAGGAACATTGGAAATGTCTTAATTTTAAAGCAATTCCGTCGTGGATATTGATATGCCTCTGTGAATATCTTTCAGTAGTTGATAATTCTATCAACGATACCCTTCAAATTTGATGACTTCAGTTCAATTCAGTGATAAAACCAAATACACTTTAGGTGACATGTTGAACTTGAAAATTTTCACCACATTATATTGGTTTCATGAAAATCTCAGCGTATTATTTCTAATTTAGGTATGTTTCGTTGTTAGTGCGCAACTGTTGTATGCGCTCGTATTGGCCATAACCAAATCGGCAAAGATCTCATTATTGGCATGTTTGGTATTGACGTTGAATCCAGCGAGTATCTTCTTTTCGGCGATTTATTCAGAAACCCTTTTCATGTTGTTCACTTTATGTGGACTGCTCATGCTCTATATCGATCCAACTCTACCGTTTATTCGACACATCCTCGCTGCTTTCTTCTTTGGTTTGG